GTGTCCTCATGCTTAATCACGTAGCTTTAACAGTTATGAAATTAAGATGAAACCAGGCCACCTGAAACTAACATAACACTGTATGTTAACTAACCAGAATTAAAATAAACACTTAAAAAAAAAAAAAAGACAAAACCAGGCCAAAAGATGCATTGTGAAACAAGGCACCCAGGGCCTTGGATCCAACTGTGACCAATCTCAGATTGGGTCCCCGTGATGCCCCAGAAAAATGAATTGATTCACCCAATTAGAACCACCAATTGGTTCATCCAGTTCAAATAACCACCTGATCCCAACATTGGAAAAAAAAAAAGAAGTCAGTTGTTAGAGCTCTTGTTAACCAAACACTCAAGGAGTTGGCTGAATTTGATGTTTTACCAACTGAAGGTGATGATGCTTTGGACCCACCTCCTTCAGGGTGTCACTTTGCTGAATGAGAGGCCATTCCTGCTTCCATTTCTGGAGATGCAATATTAATAATGACAAGAAAGCATAAGAGGTGCATCTACCACCAGCCAGTTCTCTATTGTGTACTCTGTATATGTTCTCCCAAGTAACCTTCACAACTCTATGAAAGCAGTGTTTTTATCATCCTGACTTTAAAGCTGAGAAAACTGAATATCAGAGCAGTTAAGTAGCTTGCTTAAGGTCACAGAGCTAGTAAGCGACATGTGCAAGGCCCAGACCCATACCCATCCGGTTTCCCTCTTTACACTTGCTTACATGGATGCAGTTGTCTCCCAGCTAGATTAGATTGTAAGCTCCATGGCAAAGGGATCTGGATTCCCACATCTAAAACAGTGCCAGCATACAGGTCCGGAATAGGCTTTCAATGAATATCTACTAAGTCAGTAAACGATTGAATGAATAAATGAATGAGCCCCACCATCACTATGTCATGAAACCAAGGAGCTTTATACCCACACCCTGACCTGAAGTCCCCAGGGCAGAGTAGCTAAGGATAGACACTGGTGGGGGGGGCAAGGGGGAGGTGTCCCCACGCCCTCTGCTCTCTGCAGGGTACAGGAGGGCAGAGGCTGCCAGCCATCTTGTCTCCTGGATATTGCCCTCACCACTCCGTCGTGCAAGTTATCCCGTCCGCCATACGTCTCCCTGATGGGCCTCTGTGCTGAAACGCCCTGTGCCCCTTAGCGCCCGTTATCATGGCTTCATCTTTGCACAAGAGCTCTTAGGCCTGGACGGCAGATGGCTTCGGCAATCCTGGAAATCCAGACAGACAAGTTTCTACCTGGACTTGGGCTCAGTCAGTGACTGGATAAGAGGAGCCAGAAAGGAGACCTAGAAAGGAAGGTGCCTTCCGGTTTCTCATTCCCAACCACGCAGGGCCAGGGGCAAGGGACGCGCTAATGGCAGTGGGGAAACAGCAGTGGGAATATACCTGTTTGGGACCGATAGGAGCTGGGGTCTCCCATTCATCCCCTTGCTTCCAGGCGTGCCTGCACACAGCTCATCTGGGACACGCCTGTTCTTCCACAGCCCCCGGACAGGAAGCTCTCTGATATCATATCTATCCGCCACGTTCAGAACTGGGCAAGGCCACAGGAGTGGGGACATCCAACAATCTGACGATTCCCTCCAGGGCTCAGGACAGAACCAGCATCAGTTCTCAGCCTAGCTTCTCAAATATATGTGTTGTTACTGCTGCTGTCTTCAAAGACCCTGACTCCATTTATGCCTTGTTCCTTGCTCCTCCTCCTAGGACAAAAGACACGGAATAAATAAGAAGGCAGGCTTGACCCCTCCCTTGGCAGGGATAGGAATTTGCCAGAGTTGGGTAGGAACAGAAAGTTTTCAAGACAAATACCTTGGGCTTGCAAAATGCTTTATATTTGACAAAGCATTTTCTCATTTGAGCCCTGAAGCTGTGAGATATCAAGTCCATACGACAGATGAGAACACGGAAGCGAGGGGGCGCCTGGCTGGCGCAGTCGGTTAAATGTCGGGGCGCGATCTTGGGGTCCTGGGATCGAGCCCGGCGGAGGGCTCCCTGCTCAGTGGGGGGGTCTGCTTCTCCCTCTCCCCCTGCCCCTTCCTGCCCCGCTCGTTCTCTCTCTCTCAAATAAATAAAATCTTTGGGGGGGCGGAGAACACAGAGGTTAGGCCAAGGCCACAAAGGTTTCCTAAGCCATCTTTCTGCTCCTCGTCACCTAGGTTCTCGGCCCCTGGAGAGCAGGAAGAGACAGTGGGGCTAAGAGGCCCCATCAGCAGTACATTGCCCCCTTGGGAGAAGGTCGTGTGTCACAAAGGCTGCTGCATCCTGCTCTGCTTCTGCTCTGTGAGGGCTGGGGCGGGTGAAGGGTTAGTGGGCCATTATTCTGGGTGTATCTGTGAGGATGGTACAGGAGGGGATTACCATCTGAACCCCTAGAGGGAATCAGGCAGACTGCCCTCCCAGTGTGGGTGGGCCTCGTCCAATCAACTGAAGACCCGAATAGAACAAAAAGGAGGAGGAAGAGGAAACTCCCACCGTGTGCCTCTGGAGCTGGCGCTTCCGTTCTCTCCTGCTCTGGACTGGATCGAAACATGGGCTCCTCCTGGGTCTTGAGCCTAGCGGCTCTCGGCTGGAACCAGCCCACCGGCTCTCCCGCAGACCCAGCTTGCCCACGGCGGATCTGGGACTTGTCAGCCCCCATAATCACGTGAGCCAATTCCTTCCTGTAACTCTCTCTCCATTTCGATGTATCTGCATCTATGCCTGTCGGTTGTTTTCTGGAGAATCCTGACTCTTACAGGGTCCTGCCCAGGCTCTGAATGGGGAGATGAGCTGCAAAGCCAGGCTGAGCTGAGGTAGGCAGGCCTCCCATCCTGGCATCGATCAAGAGAGGAAGTGTTTTCTGCTCTCTTGCAAGGACTCCTCCTCAGAAACTGCCCTTTCTCCCACAAAGCATTTCTTCAAAAATATTTATTGACACCTGCCTTGGGGCAGGCACTGTTTTTGGAGGATGGGTATATCCGTGAATGAAACAGACAAAGGTCCCTGCTCTCATGACACTCAGTTTCCATGGCAAATGTAATAAGGAAATTAGATAATATATTACAAGGTGAGAAATAGTATGACAAAAATTAAAAATTGCCTAGGGTGGGGGGGGGACCGGGTGTGGCGAGGGCGGGGGGACAAGTGTTGTGTTGGCCGGTGACGAGGAAGGCCTCCGGGGGAGTGAGGTTTGAGTGGAACTGAAGGAGGCAGAGGAACTAGCCCAGCAGGGACTTGGAGGAAGACAATCCAGGCAGGGAACAGCCAGTGCAAAGGCCCTGAGAGGAGAGCTGCCTGGCGGGCACAAGGAACCGCAAAGAGGCACAGTGAGGACAGAAGGGCAGGCGATGGGGATGAGGCCGCAGAGGCGGGATGGCGCGGGGCCACTGGAAAGCCTTGAAAGGGGAGCCTCGGCAGGGCTTCCGACAGAGGAGGAGGTGATCTGCTTTTAAAGGGATCTCTTTGGCTGTCTATTGACCCCTTCTGCAGGGGGGTCAAGGACAGATGCAGGAAGACAAGTCAGGAGGCTCTTGCCAAAATCCACACCAGAGATGATGGTGGCCCTGCTCAAGGTGGTGTCAATGGTCAGATTCCAGATGGAGTCCGACAGCAGGTGGAGAGGCCCCCCCAGAGCGGAGCAGGCAAGTTCCCATCTTGGGTCCTTCTGCTCCCTGCCCAGGAACGTGCCCTACAGACACCTTTGTCCCTGGGTCCCCCCAGGGGATATGCCTAGTCACAGCTAGGAATAGTTTTTTATGGACAGAGTTGGGGAGGATGAGAAGGCCAAGCTCTACCCTCTTCCCCAACATCTGGAGCAGACATTAAGGCTGGATGGTACCATTCAAGTCCTAGAGCCAGGCGGGGGGCAAAAAGGAAGAGGATAGTGGTCAGTGGTATGCTGATAAGTGTTCAATGACTGGCTCTCTAGGAAAAAAAAATGTGGCTGTATGTGCATAATTTTGCTGATATAAAAAATAGGTTGCAAATATTTTACAAATACTAATAAAATGTACAATACCCTTTACTGTAAATTCTGCATAGCCTGTGGGTTCTCACAAAATGCTTCTGTTGATTTTTGCAAAACTCGTAGCCAACCTACGGTTGCAATTGACAATGAGAGTAGTTCCCACCTGAATGTTGGTTGATATTTGCATTTACATTAATGCGTAAAAAGAAAGAGAAACCACAAAGATGTTCATCGGGAACTTTTTTCTGTTTGTCACCGATGTGAGTGACTTCTTCCCTGCATCTGATAATAGTCTTCAATTACTGCGAGACTATTTCCTCGATTTTTGGTGCCATTTACAATGTAATAGCTACACACACAAAACTCTTTTAAGTTCAATCTGCATTATTAAGATTTTCCCCATCACTGTTAAAGTCTAAACAAATAAAAAAACAATAAATGAAGACCTGACTCAAAGCATCTGCTAATTTCCATGTTCTGGAGACTCCCACCTGGCTGATCTCAATCTACCAACGTGACATTATCGAATGCGGATTTGGGAAGAGATGCTTAGCCATGCGCCATTATATAGTATTTCCAACATACAGATACAGTTGATGTAAATAACCTCAGGAGTATAGATAATAGTAAAATGGAGTAAAATAATTAGGACTCAGTAATGAGTTTTGAGTATTTATTACCTTTGTGTTTAATATAACTTATTTAATTGTAAGTTTGTATAATTTAATTTTTAATAATGGCCGTGTTTATCAACCAGCTTGCAAAATCACTGAAAGTTTAATAATCGTGGGCCAGTTCAAGGCAGCTCTAGCACCCGGGCGACTTTTTCAAACATCACCCATCTTCCTTACTGAGAGATCCAGTAGCTACCTGTCAAAGAAATGGGGAAACTGAGGCAGAGGGGATGAGGTGAGATGCAGCTGAGGTCCTAGAGCAAGGCGGCCTCAGGGAGGAGTGGCTGGTCTCGGGTGGGGGAGGGTGGGGGAAAATCTGAGAGAGGCAGTTTCAGATGAGGGCGGTGAGGTCCGCGGAGGTTGTGGACGCGAAGGCGTTCAAGCCCATGGCCACATCACCACCACCAGCTCCCCTCAAGCTGCCTAGGCCAGCTTCTTCGAATGGGATCTTCTTAGTGAGTCTTCGTGAAGAGACAGCCACACCCACGCTGGAGGCTGTGGTTGATTAACAAATTAGCTGCAAATCACTCGCCAATCAACATTCCTAACAAGTTCGCTGGCGTGATGGAAGATCTGCCCGAGCCACCCCGCTCACGGAGTCAATATATGAGGATCGGGCCACAGGGAGTCAGGCGGAACGTCTGGCCCCATTGGCCCAAAGCATTAGTGTATCGGGAGCTGGTGGCCCAAGGATCCCAGCTGCACCTGCCGGGTAGGACCGGCTCTCCCTCGAGACAGCCCACACTTCGTCCCCCTCAAGCCCTCGGGGTCCTGTTTCAGTTCCCCAGTTTCCTTCTTCACTCACCAGTGCCGCCAAACTTGAACTTCTGGGTCCCCAAAATGAGAGTCATGGTAGCAATGCCAGGCCCTCCCGAGCTCCCCAGGCCCACCCAGGACTTGAACATGAAAGGAGAGCAGTGTGTCGTCCCGAACAACCAGAGAGGATGAGCAGTGGCCTTGAGCGCACTCGCCCTGAGTCTGGCTCAGCTTAGAAGCCGAGGGCACAGCAGGTGTTCTCAGGTTCTGGATCCTGTAAGAGGTGAGGGCTGCAGGGAGAGCGGAGCCAGGGCCCGGCCAGAGAGTGGCCCACACCCCGGCTTCTGACCACCCAGCCCGGAGCCGTCTCTTCTGACTCCATTAGCTGTGTGACCGTCGTGGGCAGGTTGAAAAACTTCTCTGAGTTTCCCATTTCTTCATGTTAAAAAATAAGTTAATAATACAATACATCCTTGGCTTTCATAAATTTAATATTTGGCCTTTGTTTGTTGTTGTTTTTAACTATCTAATGATCTGCCTGTTTGCCTGGGAAGCACCCACTCGCTGGCCCCGTTTGCCTTCCCAGAAGTCCTTGGTCTCCAGCTTCACCAGTCCTGATGAAAGCTTGGGAAGAAGGACCCAATGCCTCCTTCTAGCCTCCTGCTCCCCACTCCTCAGTCCAGAAGCTCGTTCCCCCAGTGGGACTTGGAATCTGGGTGCCTGTAGCTCAAGCCTTACAATTGATGGCAAAGCACCGGGAGCTCCACACCGGGATCTGTGTGGCCCTGAGTGGGCCAGCTCTGCCTACTCTCCTGATGTCCCTATTTTCCCAACCTTGGGGATGAGGGAACACGTGGGCCTGGGGGCCCCCCCAGACTGTGGGGCTCGGAGCTGGTTCTGCTACTGAATGGTTACTGAACACAAGCACGTGATGTGGCTTTTCTCTCTCCAAGTCTCCTTCCTGCCTTTTTCATGAGGGGCCTTATGGAAGATCACCTGGGACCACAGAGAGGACTGCCTGCCTGGGACTGGGGGCGCATCTCCATCCTGCTCTCCCCTCCCTGCCCACCCCACCCCCTCAAGTTTCCCAGCCACTAGGGACAGCTCTGCTCCAGAAAGGAGCTGAAATCAGGCCCAGCTCAGCCTTGGGCAACTCCTGGCGGGGAGAAGCAGGGGGAGGTGAGCAGCAGGCTGGGAGGAACAGGGGTGAGCGGCAGATCAAGGGCAGCCAACACCAGAATGGGAAGGTAGGAGGGGAAGGAAGCGCTGACACAGCACTCAGTCTGCGAATTTCTGCCATAAATCACTCTCAGGAGCAGCCTGCGAGTCCTCGCAGCTGGAGGGAGGAAATTCTAGATATCCCAGATTCTAAGCCTAGAGCATTCTCCTGGAGGGCTGGGAACCTTGGTCAGCTCTTTGTTCTTGCTGGGGGTTCCTCAGTTTACCCCACTGCAAAATGGGGAGCACTAACCTCCTCCTCTTAGGCTTTGTGCAGAGACAATGTCCCCAGGAGCACTGAGGTCCCCACACAGAGGTGTGTACATAAGCAATGGGATTGTTATTAGTGATTATCGTTCCTGACAGCATTAGTAAAAAAAAAAAAAAAATCACACCGAGCTCAGGAACATGCTTGCTCTGGGGTGTGGAATCATAACTCATGTTTAGGCAGCGCCTCACAGCATGAAAACCCCAGTCATGTGTATTTTTCTCATTTGATTCCCACAACAAGGCAGCAATGCAGTTAAGGTGGAGATCTTTCCTCTGGTTTTACAAACGGGGAGTTTTCAGTCTCCGGAGGTAAAAGGGCTGTCACTGGCCACTGAACCAGGTCGCTTGGGGGAGCGAGAACAACAACTCACATTTTCCCTTTCCACTGCCTCAACTCAAGACACTGGGAAACAGGGAACAAGCCGAATCCTGGGAAAGGGGGTATCACAGGCCTTTGAGGTCCAGGTTTGGCTCCCAAATGTCCTGCTTACCAGTGGAGTGGCCTCAGCTACTCCCCGGTATGACGGAGGTCATACAAGCAGTCCCCACCTCCTGGGGTCCTTGGATGGGTTAGGAGAAATAATGAATCAGGGGCTCAGCAAACTCCCAGCGCAGAGTAAGTGCTCAGTTAACACCAGCAACCGGCTTTCTCATTCTTAAGCCTTAAGGGGGATGTGCTCTTGGTTTGCTTGCCAACTAGAGGCCAAGAGATGGGTGTGGTGACAGCCCCCCCCCCCAGTTCTCTCCTAGTT